AAATTATTCTTGTTTAAAATTTAAAAAAAAAGCATTAAAAAAAATTTGCTTGGTTTCTATTGACTCAACCCCATATATATATTTTTAGTTTAAAACTTTACTAACAATTCGGGGAGATGGCCGAGCGGTCCAAGGCGCCACGTTAAGGCCGTGGTCTCGTAAGAGGCGTGGGTTCGAATCCCACTCTCCTCATTTACATCTATACTTTTACTATATTTATTTTATATAAGGCCATGCCGGGTCAAAATTTGAAAATTTGTAAAAAAAAAAAATTTTTTTATGTTTTGGCCGGCCGGTTCTGTTTAAAAGTTTCATGTTATGAAAACCAATATATTAAATTTGTTTGGCCTAAAGTGATTTTTTTTTTTTTTTTTTTTTTATTTTATTTATTATTCACGATACCAACGCGGACCCATGAAAATCATGACACCCTTGTGAACCAAATCATTTATTCATTTATTTGACGCTGATCACTTGCATTAACATTTAGGTGTTTTAACGCATAATTACAGAATTATTGATCAAATATACAATTCTTAATTTTTTTTTCTTAAAAAAATAAAACTGAAACGATTAGGCCCCTATAGATGGGCGGAAGCAGTCGTCACGAAAAGGACCGCGACTATTCAGAGGGTGGTTCTTCTCGAAGATCCCGCCAAGACGAAACTGGCAATGTATCAAGTAGTGCATCCAATGAGGTGGGAAGAGAGTTTGCAAATCGTTACGGGGTAAGTTAGTTTAACGTTTCAAAGAATTGATCAAAAGAAGACCATTAAATAAAAAAGATAATTTGGTTGACAGGGGTTATTTTCAGAAAAAGACTGGAAGTGTCCAATGTAAATTTTACCATTTATAATAACTTTCGTTAGTTTGTAAATAAGTTTATATAAATTAACAAGTTTTTGCAAACGCGTTAAGTTGTTCCAATATAAATTGGGCTAGAAGAGCAGAATGTAATCAATGCAAGACACCCAAACCAGGTTTAGAAACCACTATGGGATCAAGGGAAGGCCGTGGAGGAGGATTTATGGAGCGCGATGAAGTAATAGAATATAGAAGATCGAGAGATGCAGAAAAAGACGAAGAATGGGACGAATTTGGGAGAAAGAGGAAAAAGAATAAAGATTGCGGAGTTGGTAATAATGGGAGCGGCAGGAAACGAGATTTGAGCCAAGATGGAGAGAACAGCATAAATAAACAAGTTAATACATTTGATGAGGAGGAGGAAGAAGGGGATGATGATGATCGGTGACTTGTTTTCTTTTAATTGTTTTGTTGTAATTTATTACTACGCGCAAATTTTATGACTATTAACGTATGCGTAATTCAATCTTAACACAATAATTTATACCAATGTGATTTAATGCATTCGCAAACTGGATAACGGAAGTTGGGCGGCATGGGATGATATTATTGGTAATGAAGACACAAAAGAGGAAACAAATGGAAAAAAAGACAATCAAAATAAGTCAAATGATGATAGAGAACAGTCTAAAAAGCCAAGATTAAATGAACAGTATCGTCGACGTTCTTCGCGGTCACGATCACCATACCATCGCGATCGTTCGCTGTCGCGGTATAAGCGATCACGTCGAAGTAGCAGATCTATTTCTCGCGATCGCATGAGAAGTCGGTCCAAATCAAGAGATCGAAAGAAATCAGAAATTGATAGTCGCTATTATAGGTTAAGGTCTAGATCACGAGAGCGAGATTTGGATAAGGAAAGGAACAGAAGAAAATCACATCGTAGCAGATAATCTGTGTTTGGCTGATTTTTTTTTCTTCTTTTTAAATTGACTAATCGATCTTTATCAGATACTCATGTAATCTACTTATTCGATATATACGATACTTACAATTCATATGGTATCCTTTTCATGTGATATTTAGTGTGCGAAGGTTTCAAGTCATAATTACGGAATTTCTGCAATATAAATTTGTAAATTATTTGGTTCATAACGAAAGTACGAATTTAATGTTTATTTTTTGTTGAATAAAAATGCATTGAGTCTACTAAAAAATAAAACTAAAATTTTGTGAAAGTGGAAAAATTTTTTCCTTTTAAAGATAAGCTTTTTATAGATTCATATTTTCATTTACCATGTTTATAAATGAAATGTATCAAAAAAGGTAATTTTATATGCTTTAAAATGCAACTTATTGGTGGCTTGCATTATGTGTCAGTAATAAAAAAAAAAAAGAGGTTCAAAGCCTCGTATATAGTATTTTATGTGTGGCACGTGAGTTTTAATTTAACAAATTAATTAATAATCAATTTATTTAAAACTACTATATACGTACAATCCAATGATGTTTAACGCGCGCCCATTGTAGGACTACGCCAAAGTCCGGTGATTTTTGACCAATCAGATGTAACGTGGATCGCACTGCCAAGTTATTTTCGGCATTTATTTACCTTTTTTTTGTACATTTCAATTAATAAGTTATAATAACGATAAGTTAATAAAGTAAACGAAATTATCATTTATAGTAATCATACTACGTATTCAGGCTCAACACGTAGCGATAGTAAATTGGTAAAGTTCCTAATACAAGCACACTCTCGTCATAGTGAATCTCTTGCTCTAATGAATTCGATGTAGTGAATTTACTAATAGACTCTTGATATAGTGAAGAAAAACTCTTGGCCCGATTATTTCACTATGACGAGAGTGACTTTAATAAAATTCGGGTTAAGTGAAGCATAAAAATGCGAATCGATCTCTACTTGGACAGATCTCTTTACATACTTACTTTATTTAGAGGATCTTGATTTATACAATTTATTTTATTATATACAAATCGATATTTAATTTATCGGTTTAGTCTAGCAGATCTACATCAAGATTAAAGACAATTCATTATATTTGGTGGGCTATATTAATGTGTTAAGTTTAGCAATGTACTGTATACGTACCTAATTGTCATAGCATTTAACGTTGAAGCCTGGTTAATACCACGTGTCGCTTAGTCCATAAGAAATATTGGTATGTAAATTGAAAAAATCAATTTTGTCAGAAAGGTGACATTATTAAGCGACGCCTGTACAACAGTCAATTAGAATAAACAAATTAAACAATTTCAGAATTTACAAAAAAAACAGATCTTAAATTTTTTTTTTTTTTTGACATAATTACATGGCTCAAATTCAATGTCACTCAGACTAAATTCGGAAATTCTTCATTGTCTAAACAAATTTGTTGCACTACCCAAAAGTCCGAAAAGACCTATTGTGCGTATATATATATGTATATATGTGTGTATATGTAAATGTATATATATTTGGGTAAAAAAAAAAAATTGCAGTTTCGGAGATTTCGATCTTCTTCCGTTTCCAACAATGAGTCAGAATCCTGAAAATACTTCAGATTGTAATCCTAATCAAGTTCCTGAAGATGTTAAACCTTACAGAGACTACCAATCTAGTCTTCCTCACACTGACTCTCAAATATCCCAAGCATCGACAATTACTGGTATGGATCACTACTTAGAGAATGAAGACTATGAAGACGATGAGATTCCCAAGGACAAGGGCAATAACAATGACATTGTTGAGGAGTTAAAGGACCTTTTTTCTGAATCCTCGCGCGGCCATCACAAAACGTCTGATAACGAAGAGGACGATAGCAGGAAAAGACGCGATGAAGAAGAGGAGGATAGCGACGAAAATAATAGAAAGTATACTAAAAGAGAGAGTAACAACAATCTTAGAGGATATCATAACGATGAAAATCATTATGATAATAATCTCGAAAATCAGAGGTTATTATTAAATGGAGAAAAACAAATGTTTGATTATAATAATAATGGAATGTTTAATCACGATAACCATGAATCTGTGGAGGATGTTGAAATGATAAATAATGGGTCATTGCGATATGAATCAGATAGTGAAAGTGGTCGAATTAAAAGGAAAAAACTAGATGAAATCTTAGGGCGTGAAGACGGTGAGACCTACATGGACGATGAAACAATGACTGATAATGATCAAGAACTAGAACAAGAGAATGCTTTCGCTCCGATACCGGAGGGTCTATGTGTTGAGTGTCGAGATCAGGTAAACAAATATACGATTATTTACGCATCTATGGGCATCGTCATTTTCAATTTCTGTGTTAACCTATTAACATGTGAACATACATTTTCAGGATGCTTCATTTTTTTGTGAGCAATGTAGTGAAGATTTTTGTGAAGTATGTTTTGCTATGATTCATCGCACAGGAAATCGGCAGAAGCATACAAAAAAAAATTTAAAAAATGAACAAAGCAGTAACGATGCACTAGAAAATGGCACCCAGAGTGTTGAATCGGTTTCGCAGAAAACTTCAAACGGTTATACGAGCCATGAAGTAAATATATTACATTCTTTTC